TGTTGGTACATAATATATTTATATTTGTATCTGTTTCGTTGTGCTTGCTATGTACCGTCATTATTTCTTAAAAAAATCAATATCCTGTGCTGTTTCGTAATATTAATGGGGCAAGTTGATTTATTTCAGAGATTACTTACTTTGGAAACGCTGCAACAAGAAAGGGGTGGGTGCCCTCTCGATGCAATTGACCTTGATGAATTGATACAATTATTCCACTCTTCAGATGTACTATTTTCTGATACAGATGAGTCGTATTGGTCCGATTAAGTATAGTAATAATTTATTTTTTAAAAGGTTTAGATTTAAATACTATTATGTATATCACTATATATATATATATAAAAAATATATCCTTAAATGGATTAAAAAAAAGAACAAAATTTATAAATATATATACATATATTTTTGCGCGACCCTTTGAACCCCAGAGTTGAAGAAAATATGCGCCTACAATACATTTATTATGACTTATTTCTTTTATTACTACGTTCTTTGTTTAGCTGTGTGTTGGTGTATATGATAGGAAAGGAAATAAGGTGTATTAGCATGAGTTTCCTTAATAATGTGGTAACTGTTCACGTCATACGTATATCATACGCTTTTGTTGTTTAAATATATTGTACACTCGTTGTCTATCAGACTTTTCGGAAATTCTGGCCAGTTCAAACGAAAATCATAGTAACTATTTTTTCTAAATCTTTTTCATACTACATTGTAAATACTTTTAAGATTTTTTTAGCCACCTCTGAACGTTTCAGTCTAGTCGCCATTTGTTTCTTATTATATAAAATGGCGGTTTGTTATATTAATCCATTTTATAAATATTCTCTTGTTATCATATATTCTTTATATGTTTTCCATTAATCTAGTCGCCATATTAGAAATTTAGCCATTAATCCTTACATTTTAAGTATGGCGCTTCGGATTCCTTTTTTTATTTCAAATGTTTCAGTTGGTTTATCTAATGTTGAACTGCCTCAGAATTAACTAAGCAAAAAGAAATCATCGTTTCAGGCAGATGTATCTAACTTTCTCAATATTTATGTATATATTTATATGTATATTATCTCGCAACACACAAGTAATAATTTAGATAACGAAAAGAGTATCGTTTTATATACATATACATATTTTTCAACTTAGTTAAGATTTACAAAATATTGAAATTAAAAAAAAGGAAGTCTAGCCACTGACCTTCTACACTAGGCTTTAACTTTACAAGTTCTGCAGAATTATTAGTGATACTTTTTATGTTTATTTTTGTGTTAACCTTAAGATTGAGATTCCATATTCTTTGTATTTCTTTTAATTGTTTATACATTGTATATTTCTTCGTTTGTTTTTTTTTTGATGTCGGAAAGATTATTATGGTTCAATTGACAACTTTTTGACGATTTTCTTAAGTGATTTTGTGATGATGAAAAAGTTTTTTTTTTTTATAACTATCTGTTTTGTTGCTAATAAGATTCTGCTTGATGGGTCAATGGGTTGTTGATTGAACTGAGGATATTAAATCAGCTGTGATGTAGCACTTTGGAATGGGGTGCTAAAAAAAATATTGAAGAAGAAAAAAAAAGAGATGTGAAAGAAAGGATTATTTCTAGTTTTTCTTTTTTGTCCTATTTAATATTTTCTAGTTGCGCATTTGTTTATAGTTTTAAATCATAAATTAAAATCAGAAAGGAGAAGGAAAATATAAAACATTCATGGAAGTTTAATATAAATATGCATTGTTAGAGATCCACAGATATAATAAACTTGCTTCATTGTGTAACTCTATCCAAGACCGATGTCATTTTTTGGGAACCATTTACTTAGGGGTGTCTTTCTTCGGGATAATGTAGTAAGGTTATTATATTATGAAATGTTATAGTTGTATTATCTGTTACAAACACATAATGTTGTTAATTTTTACGTTTTAACTACTATTGTAATTTATGTGGGGATATATCTGTTAACGAAAGCAATTTCTGTCTATTATATAATCTATATATGAATGTTAATGCTCAACTTAGTTTCAGATCCGTTTTCTCTCTTGTCTTTTTTTTTAATGTACTTATAAGTTTCTGAATAAATTTCCAAATACTTAAATCAAAACACACTCTTTCTTCTTCTACTTTTATATGTAGTTTTAGTGTTGTCATAAAAATAATATACATTTTATTGCTTTAAACGAAGATAATATTATTTTTCAGTTTGTAACGTAGCAAATCTTATCTTTCTCTAGTTTGCTTAGGCTTCGTTATATACTTTATTATATTAAGTTATAATGTAAATAGTAACATATTAAATATATTATGTAACAAATTAAAAATTGTAAATTTCTCTTCAAAGGTTGTGCAACATTCTTCGTCCTTTTAATAGTTTGTTAAGAGTTATTAAGATTTTCATGTTTCCTTTAGAGCAGCGGTCGGGAAACTTTTTTAACCATTACCCCAAAATATTATTGCGTAAGTCGATATTACCCCCCCATTCTGAAAAGGAAACAATCAATGTAAATTTTAAATAAATATTATTATTGAATTAATTTACATTTACATATTTATAAAAAAAAAGTTACATGAAAATAGTAACAAATA